GCGCTGTGGAAGCGAAAAGGGAGCCGAGCGTGGGCGGGAGCGCAGAGCCGCAAGGGCGCGGGCGCTGCTGGGCGTCTGCGGAAAGCGCTGGGGTGGACCTGGCGCAGAGGGGCGCGGTGTCTAGGCCACCTCCGAGCGCAGCATCTACAAGCAAACGGGCACCCTCGGAGCCTTGCCGAGAGCCAGGTAAGGCACACCCTCAGGGTTAGGAAAGCTGAGCTGCAGCCAAGGGTAAAAATGTGGGATCTTCCCCCCCACCACCACCACACCCCCCCTTACGAAAGTCAGGGCGCCTTCTATCTGAAAGGTTGGACCCGAAGGATCAACAGGGTGCAGTTCAAATACGGAGCCGATTTGCCACAGGGCGGACAGCAGGGATCCCGGGTGAGCACGTGGGGGTGGAAAATTGGGCACCTTGCATGCTTCGCCTGGAAACCGTGGGTGGTTTGCCTAGGAGCCCCCAGATCCCCTGCAGGTGGCCAAATAACTCCTCCACGTCTGTAAATATGCAAGCGAACACCTGCTGGTCCGCAGCAAGTGCACACGCGGAAATAACATTCCAGGACTCAAGTCTTCTTGCTTGGCCAGCGCTGCAGGCTTTGCCGAGTTGGTTTGCCAGTTCTAATCCACCCTGATTCTCATCCTACCCGACCCAGTTTTGAGGAAAGCCTGGGGATTCCCAAAGGCATCTTCTGATGCCAGTAACATAGGTGTAGGCTGGGCTGCAAGAGTCTTGGGTTCCAGTTTTCAGGTAGTGTGAACCTGTTAGTCAACCACCATTCTGTGCCTTGTGCTTTCTTTTCCTGGGGCACCACCTGTAAAATGGATTTCCTGCACCTGTTGCCCCATGTACCCCATGGGACATGAGAGGAAAAGGGGAATGAACCTGGGAGTCTCTTATCTAGAAAGTTAATAAGGTCAGCCCTTGTGTGAGAGCCCGAAGAGAGTATGCCTTCCTAATCTCCCTCCCTACTCCCTGCTTATTTGCAGGGAAACTGAGGTCCAGGGGAGATAACTTACCTAGGCTTACACCAGACACTAAACAGAATTAGAACCCAAGTTTCCTCACTCCTAGTCCAGGGATCTTTATTTCACCTACAAAGGGATATGGTAAATGTATAAATTCCTCATGTCTCTCCTCATCCAGCCACTTTATCAGTTCTAAATGAAGGAGATTCATACTGGAGGCATGAAAACTGCTCTCAGATTCTCTTGACTCTGTAGATAAAAACCAACAACCTGCTCCATCCCACTCACTTCAGAATTCTCAAAGCACTGTATTTCTGTCCATAATGTGTTGGTGCTTAAAATACCTTAAAAGAGGGAGGCAAGACAAGAAATTCCACATTAATGATGATGAAAATGAAGCCCAGAGTGAAAAAGGGACTTAATTAACCAAAACGCATGGCTAGACATGTTGATTAAATAGGGGCAGACATCCAGGTCTCTTGATTGCACAGACTGACACCTCTAAGTGGTAAGGGACTGCAGGAATCATCAGAGAGAGGGGAGGGGAAACAAGGAAAGCTTCTGAAGAATGTAAGCTTTTCTGAAAATCAAGATTAGCAAGAACCCCCTGGCTTCTGGTGAGCCTGGGAGAGGGGGCATAGGAATGGCTGATCTTGGTAATGTGGGGTGGGGGGAAATATGGAGACAGGAAGAGAAACAATGTGATCAGGCTGCACAGTAATTTTCTCTTCTGTTTGCAGTTTCTAAAATACTTTCATCTCTGGTTCTCATGTGAGGTAAGCACGGCAGAGATAATTACCTCCATCTTACATATGTAGTTCAGAGGAAATAAGCACTCAAGGTCACTCAGTCAAATATACAGCCAACCTTGACATCATGAAAGGCACCCTTGAAAAGAAAGATCACTGGCCAAAACTGGGACTTGAAAGGTGTGTCTGCAATTTGTGGGTGTGGATGGCCACACCCGAAGTGGGTACACAGGGAAGAGGACTGCAAAGCCATTGCTGGTGTTTAGAGGCCAAGAATGTTTGCCCTTTGGATTAAATGGGGTTCAGGTGCAGGTAGAGGTTTTCAAAGGAGGCTCTGAATTCCTCCTCCCCTAACTCAGCTATCTGATCAAGCTTCTTTTCTTTGAGCCTCTCCTTTCCCAGCCTAAATGGAATCTGTTTTGGTCTGCCCTTGAAGTTGCGTTAAAAAAAAAAAAGTATTGAAAGCTTTTCATAAATATATGCAGGGCTGGGTGTGGATGGGGTTTGAGGAAGGATGCTCTTATAGAAGAGGTGTTGATTCATTTATTCTTGAGTGCCTGCTGAGAACAGGCTCCTGTCTTCATACATCCCAACACACACACACACACACACACACACACACACACACCACACACACACACACACACCACACACACACACACACACACACACACACACACACACACACACGGGCACACAGGCACACCTGTAATTTCAGTACAGCATGAAGGTCTGATAGGGTTTTTTTTTTTTTCTTTTCTTTTATTATTCATATGTGCATACAAGGCTTGGGTCATTTCTCCCCCCTGCCCCCACCCCCTCCCTTACCACCCACTCCGCCCCCTCCCTCTCCCCCCCACCCCCTTAATACCCAGCAGAAACTATTTTGCCTAATTCTAATTTTGTTGTAGAGAGAGTATAAGCAATAATAGGAAGGAACAAGGGTTTTTGCTGGTTGAGATAAGGATAGCTATACAGGGCATTGACTCACATTGATTTCCTGTGCATGTGTGTTACCTTCTAGGTTAATTCTTTTTGATCTAACCTTTTCTCTAGTTCCTGGTCCCCTTTTCCTATTGGCCTCAGTTGCTTTTAAGGTATCTGCTTTAGTTTCTCTGCGTTAAGGGCAACAAATACTAGCTAGTTTTTTAGGTGTCTTACCTATCCTCACCCCTCCCTTGTGTGCTAAAGCTTTTATCATGTGCTCAAAGTCCAATCCCCTTGTTGTGTTTGCCCTTGATCTAATGTCCGCATATGAGGGAGAACATATGATTTT